CAAGTAAACAGAACTTCATAGAGTTCATAATTCATCCTGTCAAAACTCCTAGGCATGTCCCTCGATATTTTTCATGTTTGGTACTCATTTGCTCAGTAGTTGAGTGGTAAGGTGGTTGTGTTTGAATGCAAAGGTTGAGAGTTCAAGCTTTTGCCATACTGCACATGGTCGGAATCTTTGTTTTTTTTTTTTCAATATGAGTTTTAACACTGCTCACATAGTAGCAACATTTGTGTATAAAGTATTGGACATGGGATTCCAGATCTTGAAGAAAATAAAAACTCAATACAGATGTAGTCATGTGAAACACGTCTTCACAGAAGGAAAAAAGTCAAATGAAACATCAAATGTTTCTGAAAGTAGATTTATGTACCTCAACAGAGCATCAGCATAAAGAGATGACCACAATCAATAATTTTAAAGAATATCAAGAATTGTGCCTCTTGTTAAGAAAATAACAATCAAGCATCCAGATACTTAAAATCTGCTTGGACCCACTCAATGCTGCTTCCTGCTTTAAATTATGACTTTTCTTTGTCAATTTGTCAAATTACCATCGATATAGGCTGCTTAACCTTTTAAAAATGGACATCCTGTGGACATCTTTGGGAGATTGGTGTGTGCATGATTGTGTTTAAATCAATCTAAAATAAGAACTATAATAGCTCAGGCATTTGTTCTTTTTGCAGCTCAAAGCCAGGCCCTGTGTTTTCTGCATCATTGTGTCATTATATTACCTTACATGTGGTACAAATGTGTTACTTTGCCTTAATTACATCAGTATTTTGCCATAATGGTCAGCAAACTGTCTGACCTGGGTCGCCCCCACCCACCTGCTCCTGGATTAAGGACTTTCTTACAAACCGGCCCCAGACAGTGAAACTTGGACCCCACCTCTCCTCCACCCGGACACTGAGTATGGGCTCCTCACAAGGGTGTGTGCTGACTGCGACTGCATAGAGAGGGTCCACACCTTCACTTTTCTGGGCACCACGATCTCTGCTGTACTATCCTGGACTGCAAACACCACAGCTGTCATCAAGAAGGCACAGCAGCTAAACATTCTGAGAGTGCTCAGGAAGAACAACGTCACTGAGAAGTTGCTGGTGACCTTCTACCGCTCAACCATAGAGAGCATTTTAACATACTGTATCTCAGTAGGGTTCACGCACTGCACCGAGGCAGACCAGAAGAGGGTCCAGAGAGTGGTCAGGATGGCGCAAAAGATCATCGGCTGCCCCCTCCCCTCTCTGAAGGACATTTATACATCCCGCTGCCTCAGCAGAGCTGAGGGAATCATCAGAGACAGCACACATCCTGCTTCACATCCTGCTGCCCTCAGGCAGGCGTTTCAGGTCCATCAGAACCAGGACAAACAGGCTCAGAGACAGCTTCTTTCCACAAGCCATCACTACACTGAACACACACATACAAAGACACACACACACAACCCCCCCTCACCCACTCTACTCACCCCACACTTACTCACACACACACAGACCTGTACCATACCACCATCACACATGGTGCAGTACTGCAAATGTGGTCTCTGTAAAATCCACACAACTATGCATATGGGAAAATCCTCACCTGTTACTTAATATTTATACTACTTACTTTACATTGCATGCTACTAATTTTATATTGTGTGTTATTTATTGTGTTGTGTACGCAACAGTCCTGCGTAGATGTTAAATGTTTTTTGCTATGCAAACAGCATTTTATTATCTACATTTCTTGTCTGCACCTTAGAATTAGCCCCAGCAAATTCGTTGTACATGTAGCATCCTTTGTTCCTGTGCACTGACAATAAAGGCTTTCTATTCTATTCTATTCTATATAATGGCCACAGGAGGTTGTTGTTTGCCTAATCCTGTATATATTGATCTAAAACAAACAGCACAAAAGCTTGTATATATATTCTTTTTGCAGCAGAAAACTCCAGCTTCTGTCTTCCATGTCATCACATTGAACATACGTAATGATGTCATTCCGCTACATTACGTGTGGTGCAGCACTGTACAAAACTGCACAGTGATGCCAGAGGAATCAGTGATGAATCTCTCATAATGCTTTTGCACTCTGTTCATAGAACAAAGGAAACAAAGACTCCCACACACTGTCTAACTTCCATCCATCCATCCATCCATTTTCTAACCGCTTACCCCCTTGAGGGTCGCGGGGGGGCTGGAGCCTATCCCAGCTGACATTGGGCAAGAGGCAGGGTACACCCTGGACAGGTCGCCAGACTATCACAGGGCTGACATGTAGAGACAGACAACCATTCACACTCACATTCACACCTACGGAGAATTTAGAGTCACCAATTAACCTATCCCCAATCTGCATACCTTTGGACTGTCGGAGGAAGCCAGAGTACCCGGAGAAAACCCACGCTGACATGGGGAGAACATGCAAACTCCACACAGAAGAGCTCCCACACCCAGGATCGAACCGGAAACCCTCTTGCTGTGAGGCGACAGTGCTAACCACCACATCACCATGCCGCCCAGCTTACAATATATAATTTATTTGCAACATTTCGGTACTAGACCTTCATCAGGCAAACAGTTTTTTGTTCATGAGGAGCCATCTTAAATAGGGAGTGGTCGTTTCTCCACAACCAATCTCATTTCCACGTGCACACATAGAGACAAAATCATCATTGGGTTATTGAAACACACAACGAACAGAGACAGCAAAAATCAAAGCTCTCTGTGTGACATCAGTCTAAAGTAACCCACATGTCTAAAGGGAAATACATAATATAGTGAATCGATTACAAATAAATACATTTTTCTAAATATTTCTACAGCAAATATAACAGATTCCCTTTGTAAGTAGGCTGATAGGGGTATGTTTACATTTTAAGTTAAAAACAGACATATTAGATACAAAGAGACACATCATTCATCAAAATATACATATAACAATGATCAAAGTTCATTCTGCCATATCCAAACTACACACAATTACAATAAATGATAGCAGCAAAAAAGTTATAGAAATACCAACAAATTATGGCTGTCTAATTTCTAAAAACATTTATTTGATGATTTATATCATCAAAAACTCTGCTCATTCACTCACTCTGCTCATAAAAATGAGCATATCTCAAAAACTAAATAATGCACATAATAGCATATGGAGTGTTGAGAAATATTTAGCTTGTGTTTCTACATTTAGAAATCATTTGGATCAACATGTTCTGTGTATGTTATTTTGTTATTTTTTGAGGAAAAAAAGTCAGATTTTTTTCAATACTTCTATCAATTATATGGTTTATTGAATTATGTAATCGTTTAATTCCAACTGTACAGATTTCAGGGATATGAAGCATTTAAAGATACTCCAAGAAATGACGTCAGAACTTGCAAAAATACCAATGTAGGCACTCTTGGATCATTTCTCTTGCAGAGTTTAAAGGATTAAATATGGTCACCTGATTGTAGGGACTGTATGATGATAAGTTTATTTTGAAAAAGAATAAGTATGGGGTAGCAAAACTTTGCTCCACCACTGCCTGTTAAAAAGGGGTGAAATAATTTCAGCTCACTTTATTTATTTATTTTTATTCATTTTAGTAAGATTTGCTTGTATCAAGGATGGACAAAATGATTTTAAAGATGCAACCCTGTCACCTAAAATTACTTGTATATAGTACTGAAGTGATACTTAATGTGTTAAATTTTGTATGTGTTGTAGAAAATGTAATTGATGCCAGGGTTAGATGAACTAACTGTCAATGTTCATTTAGAATGTATTATGTTCCTTTCCCTATAGTCGGGGTGGTAATTGGGTTGGACGTCATTTTTTAAAAGCATCAAACAACAGAAAGCAGGGGTCATATTTCACATGATGTTAGGTTTAGGCAACTAAATCACTTAGATTAAAGCTGCACTAATCAATATTTATACACAATTGGTCAAATGACTGTGTAATGTAATAGAGAACTCAGAAATGATCACCAAAGTTGATTTTATTTCAACAACAAATATATTGCATCAGTATCTGCTTGTGTTTCTCTGTGCCTCTTAGTATTTAACAGGATTCAGCAGGAAGCTGTCTCTCTAGGCTAGTCATCAGATAAAGTCAGTCTGCCTGGCTGACTGATAGTCATGCACTGCCATGAGAATAATGAGGCTAATTTATCCAGCAGATGACCGATAACTCCAAACAACCTTTGTGGAGGAGGGGGAAAATGCAGCACTTTTAATTAGAATTGGTGACTGCAACTAAAATAAAGGCAAACTCCTCTCTGTAAGCAACTGCAAGCTCAATATGTGATATAAAAGACACACATTGTCTTCATTACAACAAAACCCTTCATGTAATTTATGCTAATAGTACCATCCATCAATTGCTGCCTCCGATGGCATTGAGGTAACGTCATTATTATTTTTTCGTGGGACTTTGGGGATGTAGGGAACCTGAGGGGAGTTTACATTTTACATTGGTGGATATTAATAGGCGAATTGTAGTATTCTTTATGCTCTTCTTCATTTCAACAAAAGGCTCATTATTTACTCCCTAACCAAAGTCTTGGCAGTGGGCTGTGAGTTGCTGTTGATATACCTAAGTGAGGTACCTGTAGTTTACCTGAATTCATTTATATTATATATTTCTACTAAACTACATTTTCAGATTAAGCCTTTGGATATACAAATATATTAATTGATGAAATAGGATCATTTTAATATAAATATATAATTTGAACCCCAGAATACTTATACTTCAGGTCAGTAGCCTACTTGAGGGATAGTGCTTGGTTATTCTCTGCCACTGACTATGCTTAGTTACCGCAGGTCACTGTAGCAACAGTACTGATGCTTCTGGGCACCTTGACCCATGTAACCTCTTTAGATTATACACATGCATGTCATGTGCTTCTATCATGGGGTTTAGATGCAGTAAAGTCCCCCAGGATGTACACTGTAGAATTAGCAGTAGTAAAATCAATGCTGGTGGACCATTTATAATCCTCGATCTCTCTTTTTCAGACAGTGATGGACCTGAGAGAGACCAGTGGATTCCTTGTCAGCTCTATTTCCCAGCAGACAACATGAAGGAGGAAGTTCTACTCACCCTGATAGCCAGAGAAGTTCACTCCATCAGACCTTGCACCATGAGTCTTGATAGCAGCTGTTCTGAAGTGTACAAAAAACGTATCTAAACATCACCTCCTCCTCCTCCTCCTCCTCCTCCTCCTCTTTCCCTCTGCTGGTCCTCTCTTTAACCCTTAGAAGGAGCACAAAAATACCTCCATACAACCACTGCCCTGCAACTACTGGACAATTTCCTGATGTGAACACACTGACCCTAAGACTGTTAACCTCAAAGACTGTTTTCCTGCCACTGCCCTTATCCCTTTGAAAACATATTTTTATAAGAAATATTTATCAGAATATATCCCTGCAAATACTGCAGAAAAAAACTTTGGATCCCTGAAACTCAGTTTGACCATCCTAAGATTTCACTCTGATTTAACTCCCCTCAGACACCTTGTTGGATTAATAACTTCATCGCAGCTATGGATCTTATAGGTTTTTCTATCAGGCTGCAAGTGTTCTTCAGCACATGTATGGGACTGGAATTTTTAGGCACACCAGGTCAGTGGGCACGCTACCTCCGCTGGGACGCCAGCACCCGTGGTGACCTCAGCTTTCAGTTCAAGACGGAGGCCTCGGAGGCGCTGCTGCTGTACTTTGATGATGGAGGCTACTGTGACTTTTTGCAGCTAGCAGTAATGGAGGGCCAATTGCAGCTGCGTTTCAGCATCGACTGTGCTGAGACCACAATTGTGTCTGACAGACAGGTGAATGACGGCAGCTGGCACTTTGCCACTCTGAGCAGGTATAACCTACACACAGTGCTGGTACTGGATGGCCAGGCCAAAGCAGATGAGGTGCGGCCTCAGCGTCTGTTCATGAAAATAGTCAGTGATCTGTTCCTGGGTGGAGTGCCTCAGGATATCCGCAATGGTGCACTCACACTGCCTACGGTGCGAAACATGCAGCCCTTCAGGGGCACAATTACAGACCTCAAATATGGCATCTCACAGCCTCTGTTCCTGGGAAGCCTTAAGGTGCCCTTGGAGTCAGAAGGATGGTGCACCGTTAACCCGTGTGAGAATGGCGGAACATGCTCAGTGGTGGATGGAGGACCGGTCTGTGACTGCTCCAAAACTGAATACAAGGGCCGCTTCTGCAGTGAAGGTAAGACATTCCTTTAAAGCCTTTGACACTGCTGTCATCCATCTTGATGTTCTTTCACATTTGGAGAGCTGCACCAGTCCATCTTGATAAAAGCATATTTGTTGTTGTTGTTGTTGTTGTTGTTGTTGTTTTGTGCAGTAATCCAGCTGCCATGTTATCTCACAGGGATACTGAAGACCGACATAATGACCTTGAGGGTTTCAATGTTTTTCGCATTAAATTTCAGTGTTTTTTATGCCTCTAATCTACAGATTGTTTCTGCTGTTACATCAGGTATCATGGGCTCTGGGCAGTTTGACTTTGTGGGCTTGCTTGGCTATCCCACTGATTACTATTATCCCTGTGCGCGTCTGTGTGTGTGTCTCTCACTAAGCTGTAAAATCAGAAAGCCAATCTTGGTTAGCCAGTGAGGCACAGGTTAATGGCATCGGTCCTGCAGGCGGTGATAAGGGGGTCCACAAAGAGAATGGGGCCTCCTGAGCCCCCCTTCTTCCCCCAGTCACAAGATGGCAGGTGTTTTATATATTACATCCTTTTGTGCTAAGAAATTTGCCAGAGCTGTGTTTCAAATGCTCTGCAGCTGGATGTACCAAGACCAAAATACTATCAAAGAAAGCCCTTTACTCATTTCTCCCCATGTATTTTCTCCCCACAGGCCACATAAAAGGCACTTGCTTTTAGTAAAAACTTGGATTTCTTGTGATTTGATAAATCCCGAACAAAGAACATTCTGTGATAATGCCTGTTTTGTGAAGATAATTGGTGAAAATGCACTCAGCACATGAAATTGATCCATTCACCTCTTCTTTTTTCTGTGTTCTGCAAAAAAGTCTTGTCATGTACTTAATTATTCACAATCAATACTGATTCTGCAGGTTTTCCAAAGCAGCAGCTTCCAGCAGCTGAGGAGTACACAATAATCTGACTCCTTATGAGATAATCAATACCACTTAGATGAGAAAGTCCTTCTCCATTTAATTAATTCAGATCAGAGGTAATTTGTTTCAACATATTTGTTCAGCTGTTTTTCCCTCCATCTTTGACTTTCGAGCGTTCATCTGAACTACTCACAGATATGGAATTTACATCCCATTCGGGCTGATGCCAAATCCCGGCACACTGACAAAAGGCCAGGGAATCTGGAATATAAAGATAAGATTATTATTATTGTTTTTCTTTAATCTATGGCTGCTGGTGTTTGAAAAAAAGAAAAAAGAAAAAGATGAAGTGGGGGTGGGGTCGGTGCTTTTCCTCTCCTCTGTGCATCAGTGGTGCTGAGTTACTTTGCCTTTGCTTAGCTGATTGACTGGTTGGTATTGAACCAACAAGGTGGGCTCTGGGGGTAGAAATGTGTGTGCTTCAGCTCCTCTTTCTTTCACTGCAGTCACATGAGAACAGTAACAGACTTGCTGGTGTGTGAAATATTAAGAAAATCTGCAAACTCAGCCACTGCTTTTTCACGACATCAGGTGAGTAGAGGACCAGCTGTGGCTGGAGAAGCCACACTTCCTCTTTACTGCCCTTTCTGCTCTGACTATGACAGAGATCTCTTCTTCTTATGAAAGCATTGCATGGGGCGGTATCTCAACTTGTTTGCCCCATCATCCAGGACTCTTATATCCACTAATCAGCTGCTTTGATCTAGTCCATTGTCTTAGCTGTTTAAGGTTGATCAAGCATCACAATAGCTAAGCATCTCTCTCATCACTATTAATACTTTGTTTCACATCTTCAGAGCCATTATTTTACGCCGGTCCATGAAATTGTATAACTGGCTGTATTCCACTGAATGATGAGTCTTAATTTTCTTTTTATTAGGGCCCGAGTGACGACGAAGTCGTCCGAGAGGACCCTATTGTAATCACGCTGTTTATTATTATTATTATTATTATTATTGTTATCATTATTTATTATTATTATTCTTACGAGAAAATAATCCCCACTTTGGCCCCTTTCCCAAATTAAAAAACACACCAAATTTGGCACATGCATTTGATCGGGCGAAAAATTTGATATTTCGGCAGTGTTGTATGTGGACGGGGCCAAATGGCGACATAGCGACCCCTAGAAAATTTTGGGCCTCGAGCCCCGCCTGTGGGTGTCACCTACATGCATGAAAATTGGTGGGCTCATGGAACATGCCAAAACGCACAAAAAATCCTCTTGGACCCATGTCGTAAACCCAACAGGAAGTCGGCCATTTTGATTTGAATTTTTGACATGTTTGAACGAACTCCTCTTAGGGATTTCGTCCTATCGACTTCAAATTTGTTACAGATCATCCTGAGAACATGCTGATCAAAAGTTATTAAAAGCTTTACTCTATGTGAAGGGGCGTGACCGCTAGGGCATGACAAACTTTGGCGATTTTTCATTTTCTCGCCATCGAATTTCGAACGACCCTCACGCCCACATACTTGATCTCAGCAGCTTCAAACTTGCTGGATGTGATGATGGCTCCGTCCTGAACGGCCAGATATATTAATATCCCACCTTACTCAAAGCGCCCCCCGGTGGTAACAGGAAGTGACCAGTTTTTACTTTAACATGTACTGATGACACAAACTTGACCGCATCAACTTCATTCCACTTCTGATGCATGCAGAACAAGTTGGTGAAGCTACCTTATGAACGCTGTGAAGCTACATCTAATGGTGTCCAATTTATTTATTGATTTATTTTGAGGACATGCAGTCACACTTCAACAAGGATGCATTTACTAAAAGAACCTCGAAGAGGCATATCAGACAGACTGATGAAATAGAAAAGGCAGATATAGACTTCCTTCGCAACAGCTTGAGAACAACATATGGAATCAATTGAAGGAGCAAATAAGTCGAATTCCCTGCCTTTGACATTATACAACAAACTCCTCAAGACATTATGCATGTAATTCTGGAGGGTACAGCTCCTTTGGAAATCAAGAGTGTGTTGCACCATCTTGTTCAGTCAGGACTGATAGATCTGGGCCCGTATTCACAAAGAATCCTAAGACTAAAAGTAGCTCTTAGTGACGTCATTCTAAGAAAAACCTTAGAATTCCTCGAATTCTACGATTTTTCTTAGAATTACGTGAATAACTTTTATCTTACCAAGGGAAAATTCTAAGAAAAATCTTAGAATTCCTCGAATTCTACGATTTTTCGTAGAATTTTCCCTTGGTAAGATAAAAGTTATTCACAAAGTATCGTAGGCCTTAAGAGAGCTCCTAAGGTGAAAAATTGTTAAGAGGAGGGAGGAGGACTTTTAAGAAGCCTAAGAGTGTCTTAAACAGAGAAGATGGCGGAAAGACAGAGAGGAAGGAGAGATATTCTCCGTATATTGAACGACAGTGATTTGCTCCCTTGTTCTCCTCCACGTGCCAACAGCAGGCACTGCTCTTCTGTCCAGTTTGGCTTTCTCATTCTTTTTTCTCCATTTCATTCGTTGTTTTGATCATTCTGCCAAATCAAACCGCTTTTTACCAGGAGGCCAGCACTACTTAATCTATTTGATATCAACGGTGGACGCAGACTCAGCTGTCACCAATTAGTGAATTGGTGACAGCTGAGTCTGCGTCCACCGTTGATATCAAATAGATTAAGTAGTGCTGGCCTCCTGGTAAAAAGCGGTTTGATTTGGCAGAATGATCAAAACAACGAATGAAATGGAGAAAAAAGAATGAGAAAGCCAAACTGGACAGAAGAGCAGTGCCTGCTGTTGGCACGTGGAGGAGAACAAGGGAGCAAATCACTGTCGTTCAATATACGGAGAATATCTCTCCTTCCTCTCTGTCTTTCCGCCATCTTCTCTGTTTAAGACACTCTTAGGCTTCTTAAAAGTCCTCCTCCCTCCTCTTACCATTTTTTCACCTTAGGAGCTCTCTTAAGGCCTACGATACTTTGTGAATAACTTTTATCTTACCAAGGGAAAATTCTACGAAAAATCGTAGAATTCGAGGAATTCTAAGATTTTTCTTAGAATTTTCCCTTGGTAAGATAAAAGTTATTCACGTAATTCTAAGAAAAATCGTAGAATTCGAGGAATTCTAAGGTTTTTCTTAGAATGACGTCACTAAGAGCTACTTTTAGTCTTAGGATTCTTTGTGAATACGGGCCCAGATCTATCAGTCCTGACTGAACAAGATGGTGCAACACACTCTTGATTTCCAAAGGAGCTGTACCCTCCAGAATTACATGCATAATGTCTTGAGGAGTTTGTTGTATAATGTCAAAGGCAGGGAATTCGACTTATTTGCTCCTTCAATTGATTCCATATGTTGTTCTCAAGCTGTTGCGAAGGAAGTCTATATCTGCCTTTTCTATTTCATCAGTCTGTCTGATATGCCTCTTCGAGGTTCTTTTAGTAAATGCATCCTTGTTGAAGTGTGACTGCATGTCCTCAAAATAAATCAATAAATAAATTGGACACCATTAGATGTAGCTTCACAGCGTTCATAAGGTAGCTTCACCAACTTGTTCTGCATGCATCAGAAGTGGAATGAAGTTGATGCGGTCAAGTTTGTGTCATCAGTACATGTTAAAGTAAAAACTGGTCACTTCCTGTTACCACCGGGGGGCGCTTTGAGTAAGGTGGGATATTAATATATCTGGCCGTTCAGGACGGAGCCATCATCACATCCAGCAAGTTTGAAGCTGCTGAGATCAAGTATGTGGGCGTGAGGGTCGTTCGAAATTCGATGGCGAGAAAATGAAAAATCGCCAAAGTTTGTCATGCCCTAGCGGTCACGCCCCTTCACATAGAGTAAAGCTTTTAATAACTTTTGATCAGCATGTTCTCAGGATGATCTGTAGCCAATTTGAAGTCGATCGGACGAAATCCCTAGGAGGAGTTCGTTCAAACATGTCAAAAATTCAAATCAAAATGGCCGACTTCCTGTTGGGTTTACGACATGGGTCCAAGAGGATTTTTTGTGCGTTTTGGCATGTTCCATGAGCCCACCAATTTTCATGCATGTAGGTGACACCCACAGGCGGGGCTCGAGGCCCAAAATTTTCTAG